GTCAAGTGTTGTCGTCTTGTCGCAGGGTCATCGTACAGATGAGGCTGCAATGAATATTTTATTTGCTCCGATGTTTGGTATTCCTTCACGTCGACGACTTTCCCGACACGTAGGAAACAGTAGCACTGACCCCTTTCTGACTCCACTTGTGTACGCAGGAGATGATGAACTACAACAAGTTCCAGGGGTCCTCGAAGGGATGGCGATTCAGTCCGAAGGTGCTTAGGTGGGCCTTGTACGCGTTGGCGAATATGGGCTCGGCTGGGTACAACGTCATCCAAGACGTTCTTCATCTCCCGTCCATCGGTCACCTCAGGAAGGTCAGGAGGGCCGCTGCCGGGACGACGACATGGGGCGTACAGCACCACCTCGTGGAGGTACACCTTACTTCCCTCTGTGGGCTAGCTCGACGTTTGTCGCTTTGAAATGTTTTGGGTCCGAATACTGCCACGGGCCACCATGGAATATGGGGACCTTCGTTTATCTGAATCAGCTTCGGCGAGTTTAACGTCGTCACCGGTTGTTCGGGTAGTGTCAGATGTAGTCGTTGTAGTATACGCGAAACATGTTTCAGTCGCGGCCTGTGTGCTGCATACTTCTTTAAGTTTCGCATCTCCTCGCCTCCCGCACGCTTGTCATGCTCTTTTCCTTAGGCATACGGTAAGATGGCAGCCGAAGACAACCTTGGCAGGTTCGACCTGTGCGGCATCCTCGTCTGGGATCTGATGCATCTCAACACCAACGGCTTCAAGGTGCGACCGAATGGCGGAGGGATACAAGGCCTGGTCGACCCGGACTCTATATTGCGCCACCCACTGGACGGCGTGAAAGGGGTGGCCGATAACATCAGCTTGGAAGAGACACTCGAGACCTTCGTTGCCACCCAATACCTTGAGGTGAAGAGTACATTTAAGAGTTTTTTTTCGTTTTTTTTTGTCGCTGTAGTTCGCCATGTAGAGGCCACGGCGGTACGAATCTGTGTCATGTGGTTGAAACACCCACCGCTTACATACGTATCGCGCTCTCTGTGCCTGGATGGCCATGTCTGTTATCCTGCCAACCCGGTCGTGTGCTCTATGCATTTGCATCCACCTACACAGCCATCCCGCGACGTTGTACTTCATTCATTTTTTTTCCCCTTCCACTCCCTGCATTTGAAAGGTGTTCTGGGTTAGCATCGGAAACCTGAAGTACAAGTTCTGCGTCTATAGAGAAGCGGTCAAGGGATTGACCGGGCCCAAACTCAAGCGGATGCTGAATGAGGTTATGCTCAGGTTGTACACGGTCCACGAGGACAAGCAGTTCGACGTAATCTGTACCGTCTGCGACGGTGCTGCCGAACAGTGAGTCGCCAAAGATCCGTGTTCTGTCGAAAAATTGAACTACCACCAAGGGTCAACCCCAAAAAAATACAACGGGCACATAGGCTACCCTCCTCCTCGGGAGGGCCAATGTCAATTTCGGGCCTCGTTCGCGGAATATGCCATTGCCCCCCTCGGGTTTATATCCACGGTGCCCCTTGCGCAATTACATTGAAGTTGGATCCACCCCATTGGGCCCAGATTTCGAGTAGGCCTACGTGCCTTGATTTTCTTTCGCGTAGATCTTTGCGGTCACGTAGACATACTGACATATTGACACATCGGATGCACCCGACCCGCTCTAACCACTTCCGCCATCGCCCCCTACGCCTTATTTTTTTGATTGGGGCTTAGCCGGTCGTTCCAGTAGTTCTTCGCAACCTCAACATTCTCGAAGTGGGCGAACGAGGAATCGCCGTCTGAGATGCGTCACAAGGACTTCAAGGTTGCCTTTAGGCACCCCCAGCATGGCCGGCCGGTGTTCAACATGTCCGAGCCCGTGCATCTCCTCAAGAAGGTCGTCAACGCGCTATGGCACAGCGGCCTCGCAGACAAACAGCGTGATCTCAAGGGTCTGTGGTGGGATCCCAAGACGGAGGAGGAGGAGTGGGTGTCGTTTTCTCTCAAGACACTGGAAGAGGTGTGGAACCAGGAGGAAGCGGGTGGCGGGATTCGTTCAGGGGCAGAGCAGGCTGCGCACCTGAGCCGCTTCCGCAAGGTCAACCCGGAAATGTTCTACAGGAACAGCCACAACTGCATGAGCGTGAAGCTTTCGGCCAAGGTAGGCGAATGTGCGACGCGCGTGTGAGCGTGTCGTGGTGTAGTTTTCTGCTTCATGTTCCGGGGGAAGAAGTAATGGCCTCTGTGGGTTGTCTCAAGCGGAGCAAGTACCTCCAAACAGATCGATTACGCTCGGGAAGAAAGGGAAAAATGCATCGGTGTACTGAGGGCTATCTTTTTTTTTTTTCCGAGGACGACAGAGGCAGCTATTTCCCGAATATGTCGACATCGTTCGCGCTAAGCATCCCCTGCCTTCCCGTTCTTCACCCCTTCGTAGTGTGTGTCTAGAACCGCTGTGCTCATGTGTGACAGCGCCCAGGGGAACCTCATAGCGCAAGGTGCGCACCCCAACGGAGCAATCGCGTGCTATTCGGAGCTGGCCACAGTGATGAACGATTTCTTGGACACCATGAACGGTGCCATGTTAGAGAGGAAAAAAGGCGTCATTGCTACCTTTTTATTTTGAGCTTGGGGGGGGGGGTCATGCCGTCTCGCACGTCGTCGCTCGACCAACGGAGCAATCGCGTGCTATTCGGAGCTGGCCACAGTGATGAACGATTTCTTGGACATCATGAACGGTGCCATGTTAGAGAGGAAGGAAGGCGTCATTGCTACCTTTTTATTTTGAGCTTGGGGGGGGGGGTCATGCCGTCTCGCACGTCGTCGCTCGAGGAAGCACAAGGGACTTCCCTTCCTGTGACTTGAAGCAAAAGCAACCACGCGACCCAGGGGACGTTCTTTTTGCCGAGTGCACCACGTTTTGGGCTATGTCCGGAACACGATATCCTTTGTTGTTACGACGTCTTTCTGTGGCCAGGCGTTTTCGGGGCTCACCNAAAGCAACCACGCGACCCAGGGGACGTTCTTTTTGCCGAGTGCACCACGAGCGTCTTCGCTTTGGGCTAAGTCCGGAACACGATATCCTTTGTTGTTACGACGTCTTTCTGTGGCCAGGCGTTTTCGGGGCT